CTAATTCAGTCTGTAAGCTTATCATTAAATCTAGACCATGTAGAAATCTTCTGCTTCCCCTTCTCATTTCTAGAACACAAAGACTTCAAAAAAACAGGCAAGAGACTCATGTCTAAAATTCTTTACCATCGGGAATGTAAGTTTCTTATCATTTACGTAAAATTGCCATGCTTCAGGCACAAATTCCATCTTTTAGGAATATAATTCAACATCACATAAAGGGTCTTTGTTCTTGGGAAATCTCTTCCCTTTCACTATCTCCCAGGAAATTACAAAAGTCCCCAATTTATATAACTGGGTATAAAAATCATAAAATTGATAATTAATAGATATGCCTTAGTAATTAACTGTCCATCATTGGCCTGAATTCCAGATATAAAATGTAATTGTTTTTGTTGTTTCAAGTGATAAGCCAATAACTTTCAGCTTTCTCTCCTGATTCCCAGTAGTGCTGATTAATACATTTCAGGGACTATTCCATTTGTTCTGGGCATGGTTGCCCAATTTACATTTTGCTGCTATAAATGCTCAGTATGATTACTCTGTAGGGTTTCTGGCATACAACGAAAGTGAATCCTTAACTGTCTTTTCCAACTGTATAATTATAGTCTCTGACTCTTTTTTGCTCAGGCAAAAGCAATAATAGATCCCCAGATGGATGCCTTAAATACAGCCCGAAGGATTTGTGTGTTGGTTTTTTTCTACAAAAGAATATCGTGGAAGAGAAACATTCAGAAACCATCCAGAATTGGTTAATTTATAATTTTTGAACTTCAGAATTAGAGTCTCTGGAGCATGGTCTGAGATTGCAGTGGGGCCTACTGAGGAGTCCATGACTCAATCCACCAAAATAGAAAATAAAATAAACAATAAAGATTTTTATGTCCATATTAAAGAAGTATATTCTCTATGCTCTATACCTAAAATACCAAATATCTATTTATTTAAATTTTGATATAACTGAATTTAAGTTTCCATCCATGGCACCGGAGTGGGGTAAAGGAAGACAACCATCTCAGCAATCATGAAAACTGGGAGTAATCTCAAAAGTATGTTGGTACAGATTCTCAAGTCTAATAAATCTCTAACTACTGTGAGTTAAGCATAGGCCCAACTCCCTTTCGATTCTTGGGCAGGAGTCCATATTCCATTAGCCATGGTTCTACAGAACAATCAGGGAAGATGGTGGGTGGACAAATGCTGTTCCCTCCCTATAACTCTATGTTCTATTTACATTTTGTATGATATATAGATATAGATGCACAGAGAGAGAGGGGGGAGAGAGAGGGAGAGCCTTCAAGTCAGTGTTGACTCCTGGCAACTGTCTGGATTAGTCCCTTTAGTTTTCTTGGCAAGATTTTCAGAAGTAGTTTGCCTTTGCCTTCTTCCGAGGACTGAGAGAGATTGACTGGTGCAAGTTCACTCAGCTGGCTTCATGCCCAAGGCAGGACTAGAACTCGCAGTTTCCTGGTTTCTAGCCTGTTGCCTAACCACTACACCAAACTGGCTCTCACTGAAATATATGTATATGTATGTGTATGTGTGTAACAAGAGTTGTACAGCATGTTGTCTGACAAAAAGAGGCACACGGAATTTTTATTGTTATATAAAGGGATAAAATCTTCCCCTCAGATATGCATATTCTTTATGCATTTTCTCATGCTGATCATATATTTAAAAAGATTGCTATCAGTTAATTTATTAGTTTATTTGATTTATACATACCACAGTCAAAAGACTCTCAGCAGGTTACGATCTCATCAAATTACACCAAAGTGTCCACAGTACAAAATCATAATCAAATAAAAAATAAAAAATAACAATAACAATTTAAACTATAATATAATACAAAAGCTTAAAAATCACAAGAATGGACTGAAAATTACAGCCAGTAAATGGATGATGATACACATAGTTCAAAAGCTCTCCTAAATAGTTTTGTTTTTAGTCATTTCCAAAAAGCTAACCAAGTGGGCTGTTTGAATATCAAGGGAAAGGATATTCCAAAGGGCAGGCACAATAACAGAAAAGCTGTGCTTGGGGGCCTGAAACCCCCCTCCCTCTTGAAAGGGAGGCAGAGAACTATTAGCAGATTTTCCTGAGATCCACATTTTGGTGGGTTGTTGCTAGGTGGAAAAAATGTTTTGGGAGATATCTCAGAGCCAAGCTATGTAGGCCCATGTAGACATTTTGAATTGCACTCAGAAGCCAAAAGGAAGCCAACGCAGGGAACTGGAGCACCGGTGTCACATGCTCATTTTGGCGTGAACCTGCCAACAGCCAGGCCTTCATGTTTTGGGCTAACTGCAGTTTTCAGATGTTCTTCAAAGAAAGCCTTGTATAAAGTGCATTATAGTAGCCCAGACAAGTTGTGATGATGGTATGAGTCACAGCTGCAAGATCCTCACATTACAGGTGAGGCATCAACTGGCACATCAGCTGGAGCTGTGCTAAGGCCACCCTAGCCACAGGCTCCACCTGCCCATCATTAGTTTATTTGATTTATACACACCATTGGTGGCCATTGCTCCAAGAGGACTCCCCTGTGAACTTGCCCCACTGGGGATAATGTGATCCCATCAAGAGACAACACTGAGGATATTAGAAAGCCACAATGGACAAACAGTAACTCTATCTTGCTAGAGTTCAGCTTCAGTCTGTTTCAATCCATCCAGACCCCACATAACCTCCAGACACTGGATCACGACACTGACACCATCTCCTGGTCCAAGAAGATCAAATAGTGTCAGGCTGCCCTGACAACTGAAAAGGCCTCAAGAGAGTTTATTCTCAATCAGTAGAAATTACTGAACTAAATCCTAACTCTACTCCAGCTGAGGTTATAAATATACCTCTTAGAATTATTCGGTGGCCAAGATTAGGGCACACACAGGATTCTTATGAAATGTAAAGGGCGCATGTCTGCATTTTGTGGTTCTGCATTTCCATGGATCTTCAGTTCTGGGAGGAGAAATTGCCCCATTTGTGCTTCACAAGCAGGAATATATGCATCATCCAACAAGATAAAGTAACTACTTTCTTCAACATTTGTATTTTTGTTCTTACAGAGTTCAAAATCACTACACACTTTAAATGGTTGCCCTTTAAAGATGCAATCTCTGTCTTGTTTTGTTTTGTTTTTTTAATTATACAACCAAACCAGCCAGATTTCTTATCCTCTTAGCTTTCTGCCAATATAAATCACTGTTCCAGGATTTTCTGTTTCCTCAAGGGCATTCAGTCATTAGTAGCACTCATAATCTATCTGCTTTTCATTCCCATCCTCCTCCCCTTTCTTTGTGAAAGAAGAGAAATCCCACAAATGCATTACAAACCAAGGGTTTCACTTTGATTTTTGCTATTAGCTGAGAGAATCAGATTACAGTTTATGGGGAGAGGAAGGAAGCACACCAATGTGTTATTCAGATTCTGTCCCCCCCGCCCCCTGCTTCTTATTCAATGCAGGAAAGGAACTGGCAATCTAAATTACATGCATGTTTCGATGGCAATGCAGGTTACTATAGGCTGAAAATCAGTTTGGTTATTTATTTCTAATTCCAAATCCCAGGCCTTTTCAGAGGTCTCTTTCCTAGTAGGATTATGCCAGCTATGAGAGCATGACATTTTTTTCTGCAGCTGCTGCCCAAGAAACAGCTGCCAAGCCCAGCACTTTTTCTGGGACAGGAAAGATGCCACAGACATACCAGGATTACTTCCTAGTGTGAGAAGGCAGGGAGAAGTGAGGGCCTCAAACGAACCATGTTTGCTAGGGGAGAGCGCT